ATTATTCAAACGCCTATAAATTCAGATCGCATTTCCAAATTAGACCCCGAGTTTACCTATCGTGGCTTGGTTATGTAAGTTAATGTATTTGTGAAAAAAATGAGATTTTACTGCACCTTTCCTAAGGCTTATCGCTCATCTCGCCTGTCACTGCACGTGTCAGTAATCGGGTAACATGAAACGGACATCTCGTTTAACAGGTAAATTGTTGAGAATGTGTACCGGTGTTAAAATATTGTGTTGTTAAATATGTAGGTGTCGTCCTTTTGTCACCTTCACAAATGTCACCACGGACTAATTGTGTCTAATTACACAAGTAAGTTTAAGTTTAAGTTTTTTATTTCCGAATGCAAATCAGCATATAGGTTAATTGATACATAGAATACAAAACATATTTCAAATTTTCAAGATGGCGGAGGACAATTCCATATAAGCAATTATCACATAAAAAGAATACATCATTTAGCAATATTACTACACGAGGGTTTTTCTTTTGGCGGTAGCATATTTTAAATACAGACCCAATCTACGTAATGTTTTAATACTTTTACATGACAATAATTCAATTAATTTATACACACTGGGGCATCGGAAGTAATATTGCTTAATGTATGTGTTTCTCAATACAGAGTAAGCAGGACAAATAAGAATAAAATGTATCTCATCTTCTAAATCATTTTTGTCACAGGCAAAACATAATCTTTGACCTCTCGGAACCCCATTATAACGTCCAGATTCGATATTAAGGGAATGCGCCTGCATGCGATATTGACTCAACATTTTTTTGGTATTAAATGTTAAAGGCTTTACTAAATAGAATTGCATATTAAAAGTATCGACAAGATGTCTATATAAATAACATTTAGAAGATGTTTCAAACGCACCACGTAATTCCTNCATACCTGTGTTTTTCTTACCTGTACATTGAATATTTGTCAGCAGGTTGACAGACACAGTGACCCGACACAATTAATCATGTCACAGTTGTGATTCATCCAGTTATAACTGATAAACCGTTATTTTACTTTTTTTGAATATCATTATTTTTTTAACAAAACAACCCAACCCAAGTCCAAAATAACTGACTATCTCCACTTTTAAATGTTTATCTCCAACCCATTTAAATATTTTAAGAGGAAACTAATAACAAAAAGAGAAAATGACCACACGAAATCAACAACGCCCAAAAGTAAAACATGATCATTTGCATATCGGCTTCCTTATATTGGCATGTCAGGTACGTCATGTAAATAATTCCCTATTTAATTTATTTCAATTTCATCATCACTGTTCAACAAGTTGTCATAGTATTCCTAATACATATATTTCCTATGCCACAACTCATTTCCTCAAAGGAACGTTTCCTTGTATATGTAGCTCAAGAAAAATCAAGGCAAAATCGGCAAAATATATAAAATCTGTTAATGTCGTGAAATATAATGTAACTATATTCACCAAATTTAAAGGATTTTACTCGTTAAATCGCACGATGATAAAATGCTAACGACAGCCTATCGCGTTCTTCGGTCGCCGTGTTAAAACAGCAGAGGGTTACAACTCGACATGGATGACGAACTCGCCACAAATCAATCAACCAATATTTTATTTAGTGTAACGCATCATTAAATTCACAAACAATAATTCATAAAATATCAGAAAAAAGAACAATATAACCTGTTGGTATCGGACGTGCACTTAACATAAGCATGGGCGCGTGTTATAGGTGTCAATAATGGCATCATTTATCTCATATAAAATTAGATTCTTTCGGAGAACAAAGGATGATTATTATTTCAACATGCCCAGGAAAACCACAAAACACGAGGTTTTATTTCGACTTTAAGGTGTTTTGTGCCTCTTTTAGAACATGTTCATACTGTAACGCAGAAGCTGAGCACAGGGACTTACAAAATCAGGACAGGGAATTATTTTGATAACACTAACCTTTCCTGACCAATAGAGAATATTATATAGCGTTTTGGAACCCAATACAAAAACTATAAATTGATAGAAAGATCAGTTTTTTCCCCGTCTGTCATTCCACATCGGTCGGGAGCTATAATCTTAATTTGCCATGATATCTGGCAAATATGTTTACAATTCTCACATTCAGATATACCGTCGGTGTGCTGTCTTTAAATTGTATTTTCAAGGGTCTCTATGTAAATATTTTTCGATTGTTCATACTCTGGTCTGGTTTAACCGATTTTGAATTCGACTTGTTCTAACACCTAAACCGCCTTTTAATATTCTCTACACACCAGGAATAATATTGAAATAGGCTGTCTGAATTCTCAGGTCCCTGTGTTACTGGTATACAGTATGCTACATAGTACAATATCGTATTGGTTGTTAATGATACACATCCTGTACATTCCGATGACTTGACAAACTGACCTGACGGACTTGACCTGTAATTGTTGCTGATTGGTTTAGATACACCCTCTAATTACAACCTGCGCGTGGATGTGTATCTGAACATATAACGGATCTGTGACGTCATAAGACAGAGGAAGCGGGTCTCCAGCGAGACGTGTATCCCTGCCTCCCCCTCCGGGCATCGCGCACGTGCCTGTGGTCAAAATCAGTCAAAGGCTGTAGGTCTGTGGTCATTTATTTATTGTTTTCTCAGTAAATCAAGTCATTATTGGAACAATTGCGCGTGATAACACTAACTAGTGCATACAGATTAAGGCAGAGGCGCACTTAGTAGGATCACGTAGTGCCTTGTACCTCGAGATAATAGAAACCCTATTCACAGGTTCGTGACCCGAACGTGTCTGATAAGGACTTAAACTGATTACCAAGAATTAATATGTTAATGATATAACGATCCACATCACACATAGATAAAGAGAATGTATCCAATCAATGTTATTTCAAGATCGAGTTGAACCTTTCGCAGAAACAACAGTCTAAGTACAACAGTTAAGGTAAAATAATTGAATAACACTTTGCCATACGAGGATTTGAGTTAAGATAATAGAGAATAATAATATATTTAAAAGAGAATCGGTCTGGAACCTAACCGGTCGCTGTGAAGTCTATAGCAGTGAAACTTCCTCTGGTAATTTTGTTTCCAAAAATGCAATCAAATGCTACTTACCGCCTGGGTAATGTAATAGAAGCGACTGGAGACTGGTCAGGTTTCTGATTAACTTTAGTGATTGATTGATTTGTATCTGTTCTATCACCTTAATTCCAGTGTTTGCTGTTTATTTAGTGTGCCAATCGCTAAACCTTAGTACTCAATGCTATATTTTGTTGTCAAAGTAGCATGTTCATATATAGATAATATGTTTTACACATGGAGAAAGAACAATTGAATTTAATTAATTGACCTTTCTAAAAGATAGATAACTCATGAAATCAATGACCTTCTAAATATGATACTGAATAAAATGGCTCCATGTGTATGTACATATTCATGAGCCGTGTAGGTACAGCCGTATACTATATGTAAATGCATCACGAACAGTTGGAGTTTGGGATCTAGTGACGACAGTCGTGAAATAGCAGATAAATCATGCATATATTAATGTTTTCTGTCACCCTATACCCCTGTGTAAGTGGCGTGTCTACTGTACAAGTTGTAAAGTCGATTTTAAACAAGGACGTTTTAAAGCTCCCATGAAATAGACCGATTTACTCCTTCCTACCATTAACCGTGTTTCATGTTTGTATGTATACTGAAATGGAAAAGAAACGCAGCTTCAATTTTAACTATAAATCAAATAAAAAAAACAATCTGTGTAAATCTTAGAGGTAATAGTTTAACTGTAAATATTTTATCTGTCAGCCCACTATTTCAAATAGTATGGATTTGAAGCATTGAGGCATTCATTAGACCGCCATGGAATGAATTATAAGTGCCCAAAGTTTGTCAACGTCAGAATGGCGGCATTTACGACGCCGTCCCTTAATATTGTGTGTCCTCCTCGAATAGCTTAAGCATCTCTAATCTCGCGTGACACAGAATTCTTAAGGCCATTGACTGCCCGTGTATGGAATGTTATTCCATCCGTCGACAAACGCTTCAAATGGCTAATTAACTGGGCCGGGTTAATTGGGGAAGTTACGTCGATTTCCAACTCTCCTGTCTAGTTCATCCCTCAAATTGGGAACTAACCGGGGCTAGATGAAGGCCAATCGATAAGGACGATGTTATGTGTTGCAATACAGTTCATCTTGCAATGTGGGGCCTGAGGATGACGTCTCAAAGATATCCTACACTGATATATCTATATAAGTACACAATTAAAAAACAATAAATACAAATTATAATAAAATATAGATATATACACAGTATTGATTCATAAAACACATTACATTTCCGTCACGGGTTTGAATCATATCAGAATTGTGTTTCCCGTTTACTTGAGTGGCTAGTATAGCCATGAAGTAAATTGTGAATCATATATATCTTATAAATACTTGAGGATTATAAAACGTACAGGACATCGGGTGTGGAGTAAGCTCGATAATCGCCTTTTGATGGCAGGACTCGGTTAAAAAAGGTCTTTTGTTATTCACATAAATGTGGTAATTATTTATCAATATTTCGAACATATATCACGAAATACTATGCACACAAGATTGATACAACTGGCGATTTAAAAACAAAATCATTTCGAGCTGATTTCATTTACATAATGCCTATCGTTTGTCGTAATTATTAATAATTAAACACTAATGACAATTTTTTAGTAAAATAATATGGAAAAAGGACTACGTCAAAAGTTTAAGTCCAACATTATAAAAAATTCTGTATTGTAGCTATAAATAGATTAAATATCACCTTGATATATAAGTATTAAATAGTATAATCTACAGGTGGGCGGGACATCGCGGATTGAAGTGAATGACGTCATGAGCGTACTCTTTATACTAGAATATATATATACAATTCACTCAATGTCAGGGCTATTTATAGACTCGATATACACTACATATATATACTGACAGGGACGGTATTCGCTCATACTCAGTGAAGCAGGCGCCGCTAACGGACATATACTTATTTATCATAATTCACATACAAAAATGGTTACAAAACGTGATGAGGGAGATGACAGTTTTACTGCTGGGGAGGGGGAGGTGAAGTGTGTCGTGGTGGGGGACGGAGGGGTGGGGAAAACAAGCATGGTTCTCAGCTACAGTACCGGAAAAATAATGACGGAATATCAACCCACCTGTTTTGACAGTTATACAGGTAAGTTTTACATCCCATCTCTTTATCTTAATTATATGTAATTGCGATTTCTTGTTTAAATGACAGGTGTGAAATGTGAAATACATTTCAAAAAATAATATAAAATGTTTTTTTTGTCAACCTCTTAACAAGATTCTGTTAACACTTAACAAAACAATTTATAAGTGTTATTAGAAAAAGTTTCACCGAAACACATGACAAACGTCGGTATTACTCAGTGCAACCTTCTGATTCTAATTGTTCAAGTGTTCAAGGGGAGGGGGGGACTTTTAAACCTATATATAGAAAATGAAAATACTTTTGGAAAATAAACATGTCTTCAAATTTCACGGTTATTTTTCACATGTATATTATTAACAACCCCATTCACTCGTCACTTTCTGGATCCGTTTCAAAAATCCGTATATGCAATTACAAATAATCCATAATGATCATTTATATACACTAATATTCGCGACGAAGTATTCATATAGAATAATTATCTACATTTTAGACGGAATAGAATAACTTAGGTAAGGAATTATAACACGTTTACTATAATTTACCGGAATGACACGAGTCGACTAACGACGCCAAAACGATGCAATCGCTGTACGGAGTAAACACGCGGTATGTCCATAAACAAGCTAAAACCGCCCAAGGTCTTTTTACAATAAAACATCTCGGCATTACGTAACGTTAGGCGTGTTGTTGTAAACATATCTATTTATGACCGAAATGTAGGAATTCGAGATAAGGAAATAAGAGAATGCTTCAAGGCTTCCAGCGTTTACTTCAAAGAGAAATAGTTCATTTGTAGAATTTCAAGTTCATTTTTATATTTGTCGTCTTTGAAAATGAAGACAACTTTTCAACCTGAAATGACATATCTATAATTAGATGACAAACGTAACTGGCAAAGAAAATATTGTTCATTCCCGGAAATCTAAATTCAAAATTTAAAGTGCATTATAATCCGTTATTTGAATAGATCCTCGGACCTTTCCGCAACATCACCGACCAGAATTCTGTATCTATTGTTTTCGGATATATCTTCGATGATGTAAAGTCGAATTGTATCTAAACTCAACCAAACTCTGTAGAGTTTTTTTTTGTGAATTACGAAAGAGTTCGAGCGTCAGGATTTTGAAAAAATCAGCGCGGTAAAGCAGTAACTTCAAGAAAAAATGTATTTATTTTCATAAATTTGTAGCTTATCTTCATATTAACTATCATACTGCGTGTGGTGTCAAGTATAAGCTTTCAGAATTAGAATTAACTGCATAAATCGCACTGGTTTTAAAAGCAGAAAAACTGCCACTTCACTCACTACCTCATCCGTGACTCAGTCTGTCACCCATGCAGTACATTGAATAAGACAGGAAATCTCCGATTATGTCCATTTTAAATCTCTCACATCTGGTTTCGATCTAACCTGCATGATGATTCATGAAGTCTTGACTAGTACACATGTAGAAATACTTGTTATCGAGTGAATATCTTTTTGCGGTATTTTGTTAGTTACTATGAAAATACCACAACTGATATGACGATAGAAATGTAACCTTCCCAGATTTAAAAAACAAATCGGTCTATCCCAACATTGCTATGCATCTAATACAAATGTATACAAAGTCCACGTCATTTTTTTCTCTCTTAAATATAATCCATTCTTTTATGAAACCAGATATTTCAAACCGTAACACACCTTAGAAAGATCCTGTTCCATTTTATTTTACAGTAAGATATCACATGTGTCTCACCTGTTATTAAGTTGACGCAACTTTTTCTAAGTCTGTACTTACCTAGACCGCAGACGACATACTTTCTAGAGGCGTGCAGTGACTACAGAGCCGATGTTGTAGGCGGACATGATACTTAGACCGTAAATTACCACAATTGGACACCTTCATTGTCCAGTAAATCGTGCAGTCTTCGTTCCTGAAGAATGTGACCCAAAATTTAAAAAAAACACATTACGTTGTGTCTCGTTCCTATTAGTAAGGCAGTTACAATTGAGATATCGGAATGTACAGTATAATGATGGCACTCTGAGACCCAGGGACAGGACAGCATTTACCATGATGGTAATGATGATGGACACTTGGTATCATGGGGGGGGGGGGGGGGGTCTTCTATAGAGGCCTAATTATAACAATTACAGGATGTATATTTGGACTTTTGATGTTTTTGATGTAAAGGTAGTATTATTCAACATTAACCCCCACCTCGCAAAATAATACCACGTCTACACCAAGAAAACTCCAAATTGATATACTGTGATTAATTCCCGGGCCCCTGTGGTCTTACGGTACCGAGCAGACCGTGCCGTATTAGCCAATGACAACACGTGTATCAAGGATGATATCTAGTATTGAAGTGTAGACATTTCTTTAAGTATAAATAATCTGTTATTTGCAATAATCACTGTCATATAAAAACATATTACGATCAAACCATGCCTGTACGAAAACCCAAGACCAATGATCATATTTATAGGCGGTATTAAACTCCAAAGGTTACATAGGAAATAACGAGTCATCTACTTGATCAACGGTTTCCGGTTACAAATTAATCTTAACATCAGTTGGTAGTCACAGACGCTGATGTATGACGTATATCAAAATATATATTTTATGCGATTTGACATGTGCAGTTACATGCATTAAACTTATATATCTGCCGGTTTGTTTATTTGTTCGAAAACACTTTCTAAAGTTATGTGGTTAGGCTGATAAACGTAACATTTAAAAAAATGTATTTATGATTCGTCTTTTGGCTTCAAACTTTATCCGTTTAAGCTTGTCCGACCATTCACCGGTGCGGCATTGTCAGTTTGATAATACTCCGTTGCAGACGGTGTTCCGTATCATGTACTGTATGCGCAATAGTCTCTTGATTAAAAACAGAAAAGATAAGGTTCAACTAGACAGCCCTGTCGTACGACATTTATACATTTTTATCTCTGTGAATTACCTCCCTTTTGTTTCGTTACAGTGCCAGTGCCAAAGGACGAGGGGGACGTACTTGTCATGGTAATGGACCCCGCGGGACAGGTAGGTTGTCCATTGGATAGCCAACCCCCCCCCCCCCCCCCCCTGATTCATTGTATAGGAAAAAATGAGCTTAAGTATTTATAAGTTGAATTAAAAGAGTCTTAATCGAAATGTTGTAAAATCAGATGCCTTTTCTAACGCGTACGCCCAAAACCTCTTTTCTATGTATTTGTAGGATCTTATCTTCATTGCTTCTCTTCCACCGGGAATTTTGATTATAATCCTTTTTTTAAATTTTATTTCAGGATACATATGACCGACTGAGGACGTTGTCGTACTTTGACACAGATATATTCCTCGTCTGCTTTGCTGTGGATGACAAAGACTCTCTGGACAATGTCCGCACCAAATGGGTGCCTGAGATACGGGAATACCGCCCAAATACGCCCTTCATCCTCGTTGGCACGCAGACCGATTTGCGCGGATCGGTCATAGATATCACAGATTCCTGCGTGACTACGCAACAAGGCCGCAAGATGGCCAGGCGCCTAGGCGCGATCAAGTACATGGAATGTAGCTCTTTGGACGGGGTCGGCTTAGAGGAGATTTTCCGAATGACAATTCGAGCAACTACAGATCGTAAAAAGAAAAGGAAATGGAACAGTTTCAAGAGTCTATTCCGCAGGAAAAGCATCCTTGTTTGATGGTCGCAAAATGTCTGACAACGCTAAGTGGTCTCAACTGTGACTGTTACCCCAAAACACAGAGGATGAAGTTACGCCCCAGTATCCGAATGCTGGAACTAAATCTCTTTCGGATGTGTTAAATGCAGTCAAATCGATTCGGGCCAAACAGTTGACAGGAGCCAACATATACGGGGCTCGCGGTGGGTAATCCACTAAATGTTAACCAGAATCTAGCACTAAACAACGTGTGCCCAAGTGTTAAAATATTGGCGGACTTCTCATAAACGCCAATTGAAATGTTATTGGTCTGAACACTTTGAACCGAGAGCGATGCAGAATGTCGCAGTCTGTTTGTCTGCCGTTACATGTAAGATCTTCCTGAGCTACAGTCTTCAGAATTACACAGATTTCAAGATAACTACACGGAAACACTTTCACCATCGTCACCAAGACCGGAAATCCGATACATCACCAAGTGGTCTGCCTACTTCACCAGGCGACGGTTAACGACACGCTCTCAGTAACGCGACCTGTGATTGGTCAGTTATAATCCAAACAACTGGTCAATTGTGCAGTACACGTATGATGTGGTGGACAATGTGCGTCATGGTCATAATTGTCAATGTAAAAGAATTTTATCTGTGATTTTGCTATTCTTTCTTTATTTTGTCGTATATTTATTGTTATTTATTAAATTTGTTGATTGTTTAACAGCGTTACGGTTATAAATGAAATGAAGCTTTATTTAACACTGGTCGAGATTCTCCCAATTACTAACCCTTGTACCAACCCACGAGTACAGGGGTACGACAGCTATAGTACGAAAAATTAAAATAGTACCGTCCCTCTTTCTTTTTTATTCTTTTATGATGATAATCGAAACTGTAAAAAACATAACTTATATATCAGTAATAACTGATCATTAGTAAGAATATATATATATATACATTGATTGTGGTATAAAAATGCATAATAAATAAATACAATCTTACAGACTACTGTAGCTTGCCGAACAGCCCTGGTAAGAACGAAAATTTAAATATCCAGAAACAGTAGTTTCTTATATTTTTCAGTCAGATTCATGGGATTTGTCAATTTTTGTGATGTGAACCAGTCACCTGCAATAAAAAAAAAACTTGCTTTACTGATGTTTTACCGGAAAGACGGAATGTTCCATAATATACTGGGTCTAACGCACAGTTTTGATTTAAACATATTTTATTGCAAATAAATATTTACAAAANCGCACAGTTACATTTGTATATAAATAGTTATAGCCCTTTGTACATTACAAAGTTGGTCCGAACCGTGAATTCCTTGTAATTTCACAGACGTTCACGAAACTTGTTATTAGGAAATCAAGGAGTTGTTGACTGAAACTCGAATTCGCGCCTTTTAATACAGATTTTTTTTTTAATTATTATTACTTTTAATAAAAGTTTAAATATTAACAAAGGGAGGCAATTACTGTACAGACTTGTACTAAAGTTATAAGGTAAATTAGGAGCACCTTGTCTTATTCCATTGGTTTATGAAGTTTTTCTCACTTTGACACATTCGACAAAGAATTCCACCTTTCCTGCTTTTTTCTCTCGTAACATTTTAATTCTTTGATGCATTGAGTTACAAGAATGTATACGCAGCATCATTTCGATTTGTTTTATAATTGCGTCTAAATCGATGTAATATGACATGTGACGTTTGTATATGGTTCCGCTCCCTTCGGTACTAATCGCATCAGAACATGCTGCAGTGTGTTAATACGTATTTGCTGCGCGTCATCTGTCAACGCCTCCGAGTCTATATTTGGGCAGGCTGTCGATGACAGGTGAAATGTTTGATAACTAGAACCTACGCTTGTCTAACCTACGAACACCTGTGCCGTCTAGATGATTGTTACATCGCAGACTGCATGCTTCCTATATCAAATGTCGATAGGACGCGACAGCTACAAGCCGATTGTTCCCAGCCGTTTTGCACTTACATTCGGACTACTCTGGCCGACGGCAAAGACTGATAATAATAATAATAAAAAGGAAATATGATATATATTTGATGATTATTGCACGTTAATAACGACATACTGAGCGATAAAGCTCAAACAAACTATAACTGTGTCAGCTTTGATTTAAACGTAAGTTGTTGATGTTCGTCAGTGTCGCCAAATGTGACCCCCTACCGTTTATCACTGCCACTGTTGATATAGTGTAGTGATTACTAAGTTATTAAACCACACATAAGACCAGTTACGGTGGGGTCCGGGCTCCTATCACTATGATCGTTCTCAAGTTAACCCGAGTCTCTTAAAGCGATTATTTGATACGAAGAATTCACGTTAAATAAAAAGTGACGTCTGAAAAATTCAGGGACGTTCTTAAAGATATCTTACAAAATTACACACTTCAACAACAAAACACCAACAAGCCAAGCCGAAGTAACGTAACTTATACATCGGAAATTATCCGAAAACATAATAATCACACCTGGAAGGTATATACATGTACGTAGATCTCCAATCTTCAGGGTCTTCCTAGGGGTGCCATCCCCCCGCTCTTCTGAAACGTCAGGTTCCCATTTTTCGGCCCAGGAGTCGTCTTGCAAAATTATAATATCTCCCGTGTAGGGCCTATAGGACAGACGACTCCTATCTTCCCGAAATCTACTCTCTCCCCTCTCTACATACTTTGTCCCTTCTATTTCCTTTTCGCAAGGCCGTAATAGCGGACGTAAAACCTTCAATCTCCAGTGATAGCCTCGACATATGTCGTACGACTACTTGACGTCGGAGATGAAGGGTAGCCCGAGTTTCATCATCAGATTTGTTTCCACATTTTGACGGGCAGCTATCGGTCGAGGGTTACATGAAGGGATACACACATTAATGGAGTAGCACAAAACCCCGAGTATAAGACATAGGGACCAAACAATCTTCACCAGGATCTCACAGGGGTAATCCCGATCTAACATATCGGGAGTAATACTCGCTGTTTGGATTACGTCCGAGCAAAAAGTTAGTTTTGCACCCAATACGGCTTACGTCTGAGAAAAATTCTCCCACGGTTGGAAGATTGTTGCGGCAAACAGACTTTTGGACTTTTTTTTTGCTAAAAAACATAAAATGTATATTTATAGTTAAAGTGTCAGGGTGTTTATGTGTTTAATTAATGAATATGATAAATTGCCATATTCAATACAATATTAGCAGATGACGATAGTTTTTTGGGGGGTTTATTTTAAAGGGGNGGCAAAATACAAGATTACGTAAGTATAATGATGTGATATAAGCAACTAAGTTGAAACAATGATAACAAAAAAGCCTGTTGAAGGTATAAATACTATCACATACACGTGTCATAGTAAAATTAATATTAATCATGAATATTCTGACATAATACACAAATCTACGTGTGTTTGATATAAAGATAAATAAAACGATTCCCCGTGTCATTGAAATGGAATAATACTAGTATTGAAGTACACTTCTTCTTTCACTGTTCCATTAATGAATCTGCCAGAAAAGAATATTTCCAAAAATGCATTCCTAATCACAATGATGTTACCTTAGATACCAATTATTTGACCTCAATATTATCTACAAACAACTCCCAATTTAGACAAGCTTATTCATTAAACAGTCTCTAGAACTGAGGAGAATGGGCTTGCTGACAGTATATGGTATGGACTTTGCAGCTAAAAATGGTTAAATTAAATTTTCTATTTGAAGCTATGTTAATTTTGTTCATGTAAATGTATATTAGAAATATAAGCAATCACTTTGCGACTTTTCTACATGTACTTGTATGTATTTCACTGTGTTTTTCTATTTTCCCTTCAAACTACTTTGTAGTTACAAATGTGCAAATAAAATTTAGGTTTTTTTTTTAATTTAAATTACATGTATTATTAAATATATTAATTTATCACATGGACACTACATTTGTGCATAAACTGCTATTTAATACGGGTGATACGGATTACGAACATGCTCAATTTTAGTTGATACGGTTACGTTCTATGTTGATACGAATTACGTTGTATTAAATCGATTATTAATCAAGTTTTTTATCACTATTTTATATCTCCGCTCTTCAGGTGAGTTATGTATCTTGTCATTATGTAAAAAAAAGTTGTGGTGGTGTTCATGTTGACCAACACACTTAAAGTTTGTTGAGTCATAACAAGCACTGGTCCCCTCACCTTATTTAGAAGGCATGCCAATGTAAAGAAATTAACAGCTCTGAGAGACAAAGTTACTTTGAAAAATTTAGACATGTTATTATAACCCCGCAACAAAGTTAGGGGGTATACTGGAATCAGCATGACTGTCCGTTGTGTATCCAGGCAATATTTTTTTATTCTGACCCTTTTTGACGAAGTTATGGCCCTTTTTTGAACAAATCCTGAAATATTTTGTCCGGACAACTCCTTCTAAAGTTACGGATCGATTTCAACGAAACTTTCCATATATGATAACTACCACCTGATATTGTGCATCCAGGCATTACTATTCTCATTTTGAGCATTTTTACAAAATTTTGGCCATTTGTTGGAAAATCTTTGTACGGACAACTCCTTCAAAACTACGGAGCTAATTACAACGAAAGTTTTCAGATACGATAACTACCACCTGATATTGTCCATCCAGTTATTTTTTTCCAATCCTTTTTTATGGAGTTATGTCCCTTTCGTGAAAAATCCTTGTCCCGACAACTTCTCCTTATCAACTCGGCCAATTTCAAAGTTTACAGATACGGTAACTGCCCCCTTATGTTGTGCATCCAGGTATTTTTTCCAATCCTTTTCTATGGAGTTATGTCCCGACATCAACTCTTGCCCTGCAGGTAGGGCTTAAGAATTGTACCTGCTGCCCCCAATTGCATGATCGTAAGAGGCGACTAAATTTGGGACCTTATCTCTTCTCTCCTTTCTAAATAACTTTCTTCTTCCTAATGTCTCCCTTGACAATGCCTCACTTTTGGCCATTTGTTGAGCGTTCGCCCCTGTGAGGAAGGCTTTGGGTTCTGTCCCCTGGCCGAGACATACCAAAGTCTTTAAAAATGGTAGTTTATACTCCTGCTTAACGCTCAGCAAATTAGGAGTGGGACGACTGGTTCGCCCGTTGTCAGTATAATGTGACAGGGTGGGGCGTCCTGCTGGGTGTCTTCGGCAGAATGTTTCAGTGAGGTAGCACTATAAAGTCGGCATCAGTTTCGCGCTATCACAAGGAGACAAACACGAACATATCGCAGCCTCCCAATATACACACACATACACTACACGCATGCATCTTGCACCCAGGGGAGGCCGTCCTTAAATGACCTTAGCTGTTAATAGGACGTTAAACAAAATCAAACAAACAAACAAACAAACAAACCTTATCAACTCGGCCAATTTCAAAGTTTACAGATAAGGTAACTGCCCCCTGATGTTGTGCATCCACTTTTAAAAGGAGTTATGTGACTTTGTAGAAAAAATATATTTGTCTGTCTTCTAAACTACTGGTCCGATTTCAATGAAAGTTTATAGATATGGTAACTTACCCCTGATGTTGTGCATCCAAGTAGCACTATTTCATTCCGACCCTTTTAAAAGGAGTTATGGTCGTTTGTTGAAAAAATATGTCTTTTTCCTAAACTACTGGTCTAATTTCAATGAAAGTTTACAGATATGGTAATTAACCCCTGATGTCGTACATCAGTGTAGTATTT